CTCAACACAGCAGTCAGAGCATTCATTAGGAAAGAAAATCCAACCAGGTTAATCTGTTTCAAAACCCTGCAGTGACTCCTCACATGGCTCAGGCCGCCTAGAGTCTCTGCTTTCCCACCTCTTATCACTCAGCTCCAGCCCCCAGGCCATCTTGATGCTGCTGGAATCTGCCAGCCATACTCCCACCTTGGCATTTGTTACGGGGACATTGGTTTCATTGGTAATTCCTTTACCCCCTTGAGTCTTTGACTTTCTCTAGGAGACCATCCTGACCACTCTATTCAAACTGGGAACCATTGTCTGTCCCTGCCTAGCACACCTCAGCCTCCTTACTTGGCAATACCTCTCACTTTCCTATAGCACTCAGGTACACACTTATGCATTTATTTTCAGGTTGTTTATAGTCTCTTCCCTCTAGAGTATAAGTGCAAGATGGCAGAGATCCGTGTGGCATAAGTTCCTTAAGGTCTTGCTTAGTTGTGGAGGCTAGTCTTGAACTTATGATCCTCCTGCTCAGCCTCAGCCTCCTGAGCCACTGGGATTACAGGCATGTACCATCATGCCCAGATGTCCAGTATTGTCTTGAAAATTGGCAGTTCAGGATTGATTAGCTGATATGCGAAAAAAGTCTTCCAAAAATGCTTAATATATAATAAACATTCAATAATTTTAGCCAAGTCAATGGTAAAATCATTGTGGTATTTAGTTTTGATAATTAAATGGAAATCTCAGCTTTCATATCCATAGGTACACAACTAGAATTATATAATAAAATCCTTAATATATATTAGAGTACTTAGTACCATCTCAAAACCCCAGCATAGCAGCTTCTAAAACTGACTTATGGCCCAGGAATGGTTCAAAACTAGGAGCTTGTGAAGGTGTGGGCTCACTAGGACTGAGTGAGCAAGCAGTTTGTAGAGTGACACGGAACAGAGAAGCAATGAGGAAAAACAGAACAGAACCAGAAGCTGCAATGTTTACATCTGTCCCAGGTAAAGAGACCTGGAAAAGAGTATGTGGGAAGTTATCTCCACAGATTACGCCACACTGCTCAGATATGGCTGGGATCACAGTCAGTTAAAATCAAAGCCTTTAATAATGCTGGTTGCTTCACAGATAGAAAACAAGAAAGCATCAAAGAGAGACTCACTGGTAGGAAAGTTCAGAGTCCAAGCTTGTGAAAAAATCATTTCCTCCTTCTCTAAGCAGACAACAGCTTCTCTCTTATCTGTTGTCAAGCTTGGAGATATTTTCCATGTGAGTCTTCATAATCCCTTGAAGCCTGGTTTTCTCCAAGCCACTCTTCCTGGTATTCTCTACATATAGTGTGGATTTAAGTTGAATAACACTGGATCCTGCCTGAAGTGCACAGAGTGACATTGTCCTTGGGACATTAATGGGTATCAGACACCAGCTGCCAACTATCTCCTCCTTATTTATTTCTCTCCTCCAAATGACTTAGGGCCCAGGGCCTAGGGATTCCCAGAAATAGCTCTGAATCTTTGGTAAAGGTCTTTCAGAGTCCAGAAATTATTGGAACACCTCTGGTGTTGTTATTTGTATAGTAAGCTCTACCTCAAACTTGCCTGACAGAAGCTGCAACAATATTATTAAATAATAATAGTAATCTTTCCTATGTATCCTTCACCCAGCTGTTCCTAATGTTAAATCTTACATTACCATACTGCAATGATAAAATTCAGGAAATTTATATTCATTCAAAAAAAGTGTAATCCTGTACAAAAAAAAAAGTGTAATCCTGTACTGCTAATCACTCTTACTAATGAACAGCTTTTACTAGACTTTTCCCTGAGAAGTGTGATTTTAAAGACCTGGTAATTCCTGTATAGGGCAGGCTCAATATTATTAAATAATAATAATAATCTTTCCTATGTATCCTTCACCCAGCTGTTCCTAATGTTAAATCTTATGATATCATATTTTTCCAGTTTTTTCAAATTTTTCCAGTTTGCTGCTAATGTCCTTTTTCCATTTCAGGATTCAATTTAGCATCTCATAGTACATTCAGTTTCTTAATTTCTTAATCTCCTCCAATCTCAAACAGTTCTTAAATCTGTCTTTCATGACTTTGATACTTTTGAAGAGTATAGGTGCTATTTTGTAGTGTACCTCAACTTGGCTTTGTAACTTTTTTCCTCATTAGATTGAGGTTCTACATTTCAGGCAGGAATACCACAGAAGTGATGTGTTCTTCTCAGTCCATCATATCAACAGGTCTATGGTGTAAATGTGTCTCATTATAAGTGACATTAACTTTGGTCATTTGGATAAGGCATATCTACCAACATTTTACACTGCAAAGTTATTAATTTCTTTTTGAGATTAATAAATATCCTTGGGTGGAGGCTACTTTGGTACTATGAATTACCCTGCTTCTCTCAACGTTTTGCCCACATATTTAAACACTATTGATGAATCTTGCTGCCTAAGTTTTATTTCAGTATTTAGTTAATGGTGATTTTTCTATTTCCTTCATTCTTTTGACATTTCTAAATTGGAATTCTTCTGTAAAGAAGAGACCATTTCTTTGAGGCAGATGAACCTGGATGAATAACTTCAGAGTTAAACTGGTCTCTGCTAGAATCCAAATTATTCAACTTTCTGGGCTACATGTTTAGTAAGTCAATTCTATAAGCATCATCATCAAAATTAATGCTGGCTTCCATACTTTTATAATTAGGTCAAAATGGATTCTACTGTCATGTATAAATAAAAAGAACCAATACAAAATTTTTTAAAAATTAATGCTTGCCTGCTGTCGAATAACTCTTGAGCTTGATTTAAAATTGTTAAGACAAAAAAAAAAGTGAAGAGCTACTTTTTCTATATTTATGCCCAGGCTTCTTCCACCAAGAGTCGGGGTGGAGACCATTCTTCTTTCTATCCTACTCTATCAATATGCCGCAATGCCAAGGCCACTGTTCCTTCCCTCCCCTTCCCTTCTTCTCCCTCCCTCCCTTCCTCCCTCCCTTCCTTCCTATACATTGCTTCTAAAGCCATGGCCTGAAAGGTGGGTGTAACCAGGTGGCCCAAGTGCACTTTGACACTTGTCTTTACAATGTAGGTAGCACTCATCACCAATTCAAGAAGAAGACTTGCTTAGTTTTGGAATACATTCTGCTTTACATAGGCATTTTTCTACCAGAAATGGGGAAAACAGGTTTAAGGGGCTGCCTGATAATTATCACCATGACTTTGTTTATTTCTTGATATATTTTGAGGGTAGGGGAAGGGATTAAAGGGAAAAATTCAAAATGCAATCTCTCTGTGCCAGTTTAAAATTTAAAAATTCAGTCAAATTCTATTATTTAATCAGTTATTTTCTGATTTTTTTCCAATTCATGAAATAATGGGACTCTTCTAACATAGGTCAAGGGCTGTCCTGTTCGGTCACCCCCTATTCAGCAACTCTTTAGGCACATTTAAATTTTTTCAGATATGTCAAAACACTGATTTATTCATTAGATCTCTTCCTTTGTCTGATTATTACCATAAATAGACTTTCCTTTCCAATCCCAAACTGATAAAAAGTGAATTTTAAAAATCCCTGACCACTTCATTCCACAAGCTCTGTTTTGTTGTCCACTGTCTAGACACTGGTTACTGGTGGGTGAGGAGATCTAGCTGAGCTGCCATCAGTGTTTTGTTGCAAGCAGTTGATGAGTAATCATACCTAAGGCATCAAAGTTTAAGAATGATTTGATTTTGAAGACAAATCAAATAGGTTTTAGGTTAAAACTTCATTAACATCATTTGCATTAAAATTCTAAATATTTTCTTGAATGGAGAGGAATAGCAAATATAGTGGATAGAACTAAGACAAACCTGTAAAAGCTACAGCCTTTCTTATTAAAAATAGAAATATTCTGCAGGGGAGCCTCACCCCACGAGCATCACCTTCTACGTCACTTCAGTATGGCCACTGTAAAGGGACATGGAACCTTGCGTGTTTCTACATATGTGTTATTTCAACCATATGCACTTGACAATAAAGTACATTAATTATTGATCAAAAATATTTCATCTCCACACCCCAACAGGGGAGGATACTTTTCAGCCCCACTTACATTGGGTTTGACCATATTGTTTGCTTTGGTTTCATGGTAAACAGGATATGTTATAGACTTCCCACTCACGTCTTTAAGTTTAGCAATATTACTTGCTTTGATCAATGAGTTTTTAGCAGATGTGATGCATTAAGGGGCCTGAAATATTTTAGCACACTTGAGCTTGCCTCATGTGCCTCTGTCATTGTCATGAGAAGCTGCTGCCCTTTCAGCCTGGGTCCCAGAAGAGACATATGCAGAGCAGACCTGAACTCAGCCTTTTACCAAGAGTCAAGGCCAGGAGAACCTGCAGCTTGAAGCAGCATTGCCCAGCAACATCCAACCTCCATCAGCCTGACCCCAGGGACCTGCTGAGACATGCCTGACAACGCATGACAGTTCTTAGAAGCTAGGAGTTTCAGCATGCTTTGCTCTGTGGTGATGGTTGGCTGATAATTGTTCCAAAAGAAAAGGAAAAGAAACACCAATATTAAGGACAGTTAATGAGTGAGCCCCTGATGTGGGCATGAAATGGGCATCCTGAACCTATCCTCCTTCACACGCTTGAAGTCCCACAGGCATTGCCCATGCAGGTATCAATCCCCAGGAGTAATTTGAGTTTTTTAAGATAAATGTCTTTCCTGTGACTGGATCCCTAAAAGAAAGGCACAGGTGTAGACACCAAACCATCTACACTACACTTTATGAAAAATCAAAATAAAAAAGATTTTCAACAGTAATGTTGACTCTGTGCAATTTTGTTATAATCACTGACCCTAGGAAAAAGCCCAGCAGAACCTATGATTCCCCCAGTTACAACTTAAAAAATCACAGACGTAGACAATTTTGGGAATCAGAAAAAAAAGGCCACTGAAAGGAAAAAATATGCTTTTACTTGTTTCCTGTGTGGATAACTGTTTCTGATTAAAGTATTTCAGGAATGGAAGCAGACCTTCAAGGAGGGATTCCTGGCAATGAACTCTCCACCCAGTGCCAGCACAATTATTGAACTGATGGTTGTTTGAAGACCACTTAATATTCATATAATGCATATGACTGAGTTTCATCCTTACTATAATTTGGTGAGTAATAATGGTTGTTGTCTTTATTCATTTTACAAACATGGAAATAGAAGTTCAGCAAGGTTGAAGGTTTTGTCTGAAGTCATACAACCCAGAGGAACTGGTGCTCAAACCCGGGTCTCCTGGCTCACATCACACCACAAATGAAGACAAGTTAAATATAGCACGGATTAGAAGGCAAAGGGTCTTCATAGTTTGAAACATCAGATGAATTAAAAGGTTAAAAATAAAGGCTTATTAGATCAGAAGTTCTCAGTCAAGAACAGCCCAAATTTTTCCAAGTGGAAATGAAAAACATGTGGAGTCAGAGGTTCAACAGCAAAAATACAAGCTGCAACCCCCAAACCCCCAAACAAATGCACAAAACAGCAAAGGAGATTTTCAACAGAGCTCTTTTACAGAAGGGCGGTGCTCTGTCATATATTTTATAGTGAGAGATACAGCAGGACTTTTTAAAAAACAGTTTTTGCAGTTTTCTATAGAAACTCTGACTTGCCTCATCTAGAGTGACAACTACAGATGTCCATGTGCCTCTTCAGACCTTATGTCTTCTTCTTCCAACACTGCCACAGAATTTGATTTTTCTGGAAAGTTCTCCTTGATTAATCACACTCTGCTTACACGTGTATACACAAGAATCTCTTAATATGAACTTGTCTCTTTGCAGAGTGTACCTAAATTGCCCATATGTGAACATGTGATTACTATCTCTTTAGTACATCTGGGACCTTTGTGTGATTTCAACATAGAAATAATCACCAACTCATGGACTGTGGGTGCCCAGTTTGCATACAACAGAAGGTAGGGAAACACATATATGGTTAATAAATGGGAATGAGTTTAGAACCTGGAAGATGAAAGCAATCCTCAGTTTGCCTGTACTTGCAAGAGACCTATAACTGGGCAGCCGATTTGTTCAATGTTTTCCTTCTAGACTTTCTATTTAAGCAGTGGTGACAAACATAGGAAATGTGACAAAGCCAGTCTTCAAACAAGTCCTTACTCAGCCATATAAGAACAAAGGGGCAGTCAATGATATCAAAGGGCAACTCATTTAAAACAGATAAGAGAAAATGCATTTTTTACCTACTATATAATTAACTTATGAGTTTGCTGTGCAGGAAATTGTTTTGGCAAGTAATTTGATATAATTTTTTTTTTTAAAAAAGGATTAGACTAAGAATACAATCCATTTCTGCCCTTGTGGGGGTTGGGAATGAGGAGGGCAAGCCATCTTTGTTTATAGTGAACTACCATGTGTGTCCAGAAGTTCAGCATTTCAAAATTTGGTCAGTCTTTCAAAATTGAACAGCAATATTGACAAGGAGGGGTTGAGATTCCCACTTAGAAAATCTCAAAAGGTACAAAACCCAGACAGTGGGATGAAGCCAGAGCCTTCTATTCTGCTGCTGTTCTTTGCTGTGGAGTTCCAATGCACAGCAGAAATCTGAAAGCCATTCTCTAGTAACAAGAGACTTTGGAGGAGAGGGAGACAGGTGGGATTTCCTTCTTGTGTTTCTAATGGGAATAATGATAGTCTACATTTCCAGATATGACAGGTGCAGGGGAACCCATTACAACCTGCTGGAGACTGCCCACCCTCCAGTCAGCTCCTTCTCCTGTCCCTGTTCAGGACTGGAAACTGCAAGTGACAACACAGATGCCAGAGGTCAGTGAGCAGAGAAGCTGATGGTGGCATGGTAAGCAGAGAAATAGAAAATCCACTCCTCCCCAAATCCAGACTTGAGCGTTTCCCTGGACAAAGTCAACCAATGACTGAAAATGAAATGAATGTGTGTTTGTTTATGTGTTTGCACATTTACAGTCACATTTTTCTGCCTGATTCCACCAAATAGTTGAAGCAACTGAGTAATATGGTTCTTACCCTCAAGGCATATGCAATCTCATCCAGAGAAAGACCTATAAATGCAGCCCTGCCATGCAAAGAAGAATAGTGGGAGTGCTACAAAAGCATCATCTGATTTTGGAGAAATTCAAACTAAGATAGTAATTAATCTTCACTTTCTTCATCTTTCAAATGGGGAAAATAATGCCATCTTAAATAATCATAAGAAATTGATAAGATAATGGGTATAAAGAACCTAGCAGGGTATCTGACATAGTAATTAAGTGTTTCACAAATAATGGCTCTTCAATACCTAGAATTCAAAGATCTAACTATCTGTAGAGTAGTAATTGCTGAAAAATTTTAAGGAAAGGCATGCTTTGAGGAGATTACCATAGCTTTGCTGGAGGGACCCTATTTTTTGTAGATTCCTGGCCTTCATTGTAGGATGGAATGGTGGAACCCTCTAATGTTCCCCAAATCAATTTCTGCACTTGGTCCCACATGAGGGGTTACATGTTTCTGCCATATGACTAATTCTGGCCAATGGTGAGTAGAAGTTACTGTGTCATACATTTATTGGTGTGATATTCTCCTGTTCTTCTCTTTCCCCTACACTGGGAATGGACAAAATTCTAAGTTATGAAACTTGGGTCTCTGAGTAAAGATGCTTCAGAGCTCAGTCTTTTATAGTCTAATGTACAGATAACATAAACTATCAGCAACTTTTATTTCCACTCACTCAAATTTTGTGGCTATCTGTTATTGCAGCATAAGCTAGATCATCCTGACTAATATACAGGTAAGAATAAGGAAGATGGAAAGCAAGCTAGTTAGGAGTCGATTGCAATCCTGAAGTACAAAGGGTCTGAAGTAAACCTGGAAATTGAAAAGCAAGGGAGAGATATAAAAGAACAGTTTTCAAGGAAGAAGAAACTACAAGTAGAAGATAAAAGAAAAAGAAGTAAAAGCAACTCCAAGGGCTCAAACTTGAAAAACTGGAAGGAAAATGGTCCCTCCCCCACCCCCACCCCCAAAAAAAGGGCAAATCACAGTAAGGGTGAAGGTCAGGAAGATGAGGGTATAAGAAGTAAATTTAAAGAACTTCTATTTCCTGTCAGCAAGAGAAGACTTCCTATTTCCCCTCCCTACTCAGGGCAAGAATTGAGGAATGAAACTGAGATGAGCCACAAGGGGGTTCTCTGGGGCTACCTTCATAACACATGTGGGGATCATAAATCCAGCTACAGGGCTTGAATGTGGGGACCTGTCCCCAGGACCCCTGCCTTATAGAACAGTGCCTCCTCCCACCCACAACTGCTCCAGTTGAAGAAATAACACACATCTGCTCTACACAACCCAGAGGAAGGTTGCTCAACAATTTAGTTAATTTAATATTGTCTAGACAACTGAATTATGTAACTTCAAAGGGGAAAAGAAAACAAATGTACGTCATTTTTTTTTTCTTATAGCCCAAGAGTGTTTTACCAGAGAAAATTAGCATTTCAGCTCTCCTGAGCTTCATTGTGGAATTTAAAAATACCACTTATCTTCAAGAATTTGTAAGAACCCTATATTTTCTAAACTTGTGAACAAAATCCTCAGGAACTCAAAACTCCACTCTCAGACCTTAAATGTGAACTATTCAATCATACTATTTGATATTATAAAGTGTTATTAAATCATTTGGTTTTTCTAGGTAAAGTATAATTGTGAAGTGAAGGCTTTCTATCTGACCAGAAGATGAGAATAATAATATGTATAATAGATAATATCAAAGTAGAGACCCTTTCTTTTCCATAGATGTGTTTTTTTTTCCATTTTCAAGTTTTGAAACTATCTTTCTTTTATAACCCCAAAGTTACAGCTATTTTACTAATTATATTGAAAGTGCTAGAAGATGTCAAGAAAATTGGGTAATACAATAAAACAGCCTTACCACATATTTAAGCCCTTTTATCTTTAACAGTTTTGTGAAATCTGCAGACCATCTAACCTGCTCAGTGAATTTTCATTTATATTAAACTACATTAATAAAGATCTATAATAAGAAATTATACTGAAAAAGCAATTCATAATGTACCTTTCAGCTTTATAATTAGTTCTATAATCTGTAATCAGATGATTTAAATCTAATATAGTTAAATTACAAAATAGGCAATTTCTGTTTCTGAGAAGAACCATTATATCTTTGGAATTTTCCAAAGCATTAATAACTTTGGAGCAATTATTATATTTCTTATTCACTTTATTCCCAGAAATTAGCAGAATACCTAGCATATGGTACTTGCTAAATAAACAAATGTTGAATGAATAAATGAATATGTAAACATGAATAAGTGATTAGCAAAATCACAGTAATTTGTCATAGCCCCCATTCAGCACCTGAATGGTATCCACTTCCATGTCTCAACTCAGAGCACAGATTCATTTCCTTCTGATTGGTTTGGTGTCCATTTTGACTAAATGGTACCTTTGCCTTATCAGTCATTAAGAATAAGCATGCCTGCCTCCAGATAATGTCACAAATACCACTGATCTAAGTAAGAGTCAAGAGATGTAGGGTCTGGTCCTCCTGCCAACCCTGTTAACATTTCTGAATTTGTTTGCATGTATACTTTTTTTTTTTTGAACTGATTTTTTTTATGTTTTGAACTGATTGCAAACTAGGTTCCATTCAGACACATAATAGGTATTATAAGACTTAACTCATAAAACTTCAAAAGGTATATGATTTATCCCCCATTTTACATATGGAAAAAGAAAATCAAGACTCAGAAAGATCAAGGAACATGACCAAGATGGCAAGTCTAAGAGGTAAGGTTGTAAAATAGGCCTATCTAACTCCAAATCTGTTACCTAGGACTATTAATACTAGTAGCAATAGTGACAACAAAGAGAAAGAGTTTTCTAAAGTCTTAAGCATTATAAAACTACAATCTATCATTATCATCTTCATCATCATCATCATCATCTGTCAATCTCTTGTATTTCTATCATTGTCCTCATAGGCATATCTTGTCTGAATCTGATGGATATCATTTAACTAGTCATTGAGTCCCTGACTTGACCAGAGCTCTATAATGGGCTCTGACCAGGTTTGCCTTATTCAAACCCCTTCTTGGTCCCTTTAGATTAGACAAGACTGTCTGAGCAGGTTCACACGTTGTCATCATTTCATAAGTACAGAGTCACCATTTAGGAGACATGTCTGCTCACACTTTTATAATCTGTGTGAAATGCAAGATGTTGCTTGTGGTAAAGTACTCCCAATTCAGAAACTCAAGGCAATGGTATTGTTTTCTTCCGGGAATATATCCTTAAGTCATAAGTATGCTGATGTTTCAGGGTAACATGTTGAGGATTATGGAGGCTTGGTAAATGCCCACTCTGGACTTCCAATGCCCTGGAAGGACCTCACTTTCAGCTGAAAATATTCCATGGCTGTCAAGAAAGCTGAGCCCACATTATATCCCCCAGGCTGATACCTCCTGAAATGATTTGATGAGAACCTACCATTTGTGCTGATTAGAGAAAACTGTAAAATGTGAAAGATGTGAGTGTCAGAGTATCCATCTGGACCATGTCTTCAACCCTCCCTCTTCAGAGCAACTTCAGGTCTGCAGAAGCAGAAAGGAGATGTGGCTAGGAAGGGCACCACCTGTCCTGTCTTGGTTCAAAGCCCACCCCTGTGACTCGTAACCTCTTTATGCCTCAGTCTCTTCAAGATGGTCATGGAAAATATCTGATTCAAACGTATGATAAAAGGAATAAAAGTGTTATTATATTTAAGTGTTTTAAATACACTTGTCATGTAATAAAGCTATGTAAATGTTGAATTCTTTTAAAAAATCCTGAGTTTACTGATCACTGTAATTTTTTCATGTGTATTCCATTAAAGAAGATGCAGGCTTTAGGGAGGGTTGGAGACTTGCTTTCTGAAGAGGGCTTCCTCGACTGGAACTCTACCCAGACAAAATTAGTTGACAATTTCATTAGGACTTGGCAGAAGCTTATGTACATCCTACTCTGGAGAGATTACCTGAGCAAAACATGAGTGTGAACAGGAGGCAGGACATTTATTTTCAACAAACCAAATCAAACCTAAACAGTTTCGGAAATCACTGTGGGCAAAAGAAAGTCTCCTTTAGTTGCTTTCTGAATGAACCAATAACCTTCATTTCCTGATACTGGCACTGATGATGGCCAATGTGCCCAGAAGGCTTGGGATGGCTGAGGTACACACTCTGGATGGCCCATGCATTGGCTCTCACCCTCAGTTCCACCTGCAGATACATGGGGTAAAAACTCAGGGTCACCCCTATTATTCCTAATTGTTGTTGGAAACAGATGACCTTCTCTTTTGTAAATAGATTCAATAAAAGTACAACAATAAAAAACTAAGGTGACTGCTTTAGAATAACTCCATAAAAGTGATTACTAAAAACAATTACTGCAATTCTAAAAGAAGCCCAAGACACTTAGATCATGAACTATGGCTGCAATTTATGCCTAAACTCCTACTTGTGGGAAGAAGAAGAGAAGAGGAAGATGAGGAGGAGGAGGAGGAGGAGGAGGAGAAATTTGCCCTACACCTAAACATTACCAAATACATCTCCCATTGTCATTTTTACCTGAAAATAAAATGTAATAGAATCGTGGAAATCATCTGTGGAACTTACTTTCTCAATTAACTAACAAATGAAACTAGGACTGGATAAGAGAGCTTTTATTTTAATTATATGAAAATAATTACTCTTGATAACAATAAATTCCTGTTTTTCTTTATAACTAAGCTATTGTTGTTACCTTAAGATATGAGCATAATAGGGGTTCTAGGACATGGATCAAGCCTATAAGACTTTCTATATGTATTGTGGATATAGTCAGTCATTGTGTATTAGTCATTGCAGTGCTTAGTGGGTGATGTTATGTTCTCAGGATTATTTACAATTACAACAACAAGCTAACTCTCCTAGACTTGGTTTACTGTTCATCACACATTTAATCATTACAACCAGTCTTCATTGGTGTTTAGGAATTGGATCAGGCTGTTTGCCAGGAAACACAAGGGTTTCAACAGGAAAGAGGATATTAATGATGTCATTGACCAATGAGACTACTGAGGGAGCAAACAAAAGGAAACAGCAGCTATCTGACAGCTCAGAACTAATAGAGTTCCAGCACTTTAAATCAGAAGTCATTAAACTACAGCTCATGGTCTAACTTTGGCCCTTGCCTTGTTTTTGTAAATAAAGTTTTATTAAAACATAACATACATGTTTATTTACATATTACCTATGGCTGCTTTTGCTCTACAATGGCAGAGATGAGTAGCTATGACTGAGATCCAACAAATAAAAATAAATTAAATAAAATATTTACTGTAGTTCTTTACAAAACATGTTTGCTAATCTTGACTCTAAAGGAGCAATGCTATGCAAGGTGATACTCTAAGAAGTATGGCTATAACTGTGTTTTTCAGAAATGTTCTGGAATCTTGCCATAGAGGATTAATTCCTCAAGGTTATCCCCAACAAGGAGAGGCAGACCATGTATTTAACTAATCCACTGTCATATTCAAATTTCCCCTTCACAGGTGCTCCACTTCAGAGTATGCTGTGGATAATATAATTCCAGAGGGGAATTTTGATAGTTTAGAAATGTGTTTTCCATCTATACCTGACCCCCTGCCTGGTGCCTCTCACAAACGTGTAGTTTGGAGCTGAGAAGAAGGAACTGTGAAGGTGTTTCTGATGTGACTGGAGATCAGGGGCAACCTTTTCACCAATCATTTGTTTCTCCATACATGACACTGTCTTGAAAACCTGGGCTTAAGTTTCTAAATGTAAAAGCAAAGACTAAGTTCTAGAGGAAGGTAAAACCAATCAATGAAAATAGAATTTGCACATAATCTCTCTACTATGGAGTCATAGAGGTGATAGATCTATCAGAGAGAGTGTCAGACAAGAGGTCAGACAACTTGGGTCCTAGTGCAAAGTCCACCTAACTAGCAGCATGACCTTAGGCAAATGATGCATCTTCCCTAGACCATACAGTGTTACCCCTAAAGTGCCTTCCAGTGCTAACATTATGATGCCAGCCTCAGGGGGCTCTGCTGTACTACCGGTGTCTAGCACACAGCAGATGTTATATGAATGTTAGCAATCGATATTGTTTTGTGAAGGCATAAACATGCTTTTAAATGTAAATATGCATTCTTCCCTATCACAACCATCAGTGACCTACAAACAAGTTATAAACTATTGGACATAACTATGAACAATGAAGACTACAATTTCTACTGACCTTTTCAGCACAAATGAATGCAATGCATTTTTTTTTTTTTTTTTTTTTTTTTGCTTTTAGTTGTTGGTGGGTCTCAGATCCAAAACCCAAGCAGTTCAACTGGGGAACTGGTGGTTCAATCAAAAGGCTGTATTTTCTAATGTGATATAGATATTTTTCCCCTGAAAATCCCAATGCAGTTTAGGACTGAGAAATGGGATCCAGGATTTGGAATTCCCCAACATCTTTTGCCTTCTTCCTACAATATACATAGCCTCCCCTTACCTGAAGGGATTATATTCTAGGACTCCCAGTGGATGCCTAAAAATGAAGATAATACTAAACTAGATATATATATAGTTTCTCTCTCTCTCTCTCTCTCTCTCTCTCTCTCTCTATATATATATATATATATATATACTGATTTTTCATAATTTTACATATCTATGATAAAGTTTAATTTATAAGTTAGATATAGTAAAAGATTAATAATAATAACTAATAAGATAGAATAATTTTAATAATTTTAATTTTATGCTTTAATAAAACTGCCATCATCACTACTCTTGCTCCTTGTGGCCATCATTAAGTGAAATAAGAGTTGCTTGAACATAAGCACTATGACATGAGATAGGTGAACGAACAACCTGAGATAGCCACTAAGTGACTAATGGGTGGGTAGCACATATAGCATGGAAACACTGAATAATGGGATGATTTATGTCCTAGGTAGGATATAGTGGTACAGTACAAGATTTCATCACACAGGAATAGCATATAATCTAAAACTTATGAATTGTTTGTTTCTAGAATTTTCCATTTAATAATTTCAGACTGAGGTTGATCATGGGTAACTAAAGCGATGGAAAGTGAAACCACAGATAAGAGAGACTTATGGGGTAACATTTGTCTACCAACATGGTAAATGGCATTCCAATTTGCATGTCCAAATAAAAATTAGTCAATCATGGGCATACAGAACTGCCAGTGCCTGCCATAACCTTTCAGGCTTCACCACATCAGAGATGGACAGCCCACTTCTGGCTGCCAGCATCTCCAACTTTTTGCCTGAGAGTTTTCTCTGAAGATAAGAAACCTGCTCTGTTTATAATAAGTCCAGCAGGCTGGAAGTACTGGGGAATTAGGATCCACCCTCCCAGCATCCCCCCCCACCCCAATGACCAACAGGATTGGTTTAAGCACTCCAGCTCCCTTGCCCCTCAGGTAGGATAACTGAGTCATGTTCTAGATTTTCTCCTGTGAGTTTGAACTTAACCACTCACATACAACTGGCTTGATTACAAAACCTCTCTGACTCCCTGTCTCACTCCTCCATTCCTCTTGCTCATTTTGTTTGCACCTTCCAAATAAACTACTCTCATTCAAATCCTTGTCTCTGAGTTCTGTTTCTGGGGAATTCACTCTAAGACAATGGAGATGACCTAATAAATTCTTTTTAGCTTGACTAATAAACATATTCAACTCTACTAATCTTATGAAATATAGGGCACAAGATTTTATAGCCAAGAGATCAGAACAGGGTCTTTAAAATAGCAGGAACATAAAAATCAGCTAAACCTAACCACAGTGGAAGAAAGTCCCCAGACTACCGTGGTCTTTCTCTTTAGTTCAAATCCACTGGAGTTATGAGAGGTTAGTTTGGGGTCATAATGACTTTCTCAAAAGATGAAGAATTGTCTTCCCTTCATTCCACATGTGTCCAGAGATGTCTGGATCCTTAGAATTTTTCTTTTGGTTAAATTATTTTTATCTAAGTTAAGAGAACAATAATCAACTTTATTCTCTTTAACATTTACAGCGTATCAAGCATAGTAAGTTCACTTTTAGTTATCAATCTGCAAGTCTTATGTAGTAAGCCCATTTCAATGGGGGAAGGTGGACAGTCACCTGAAAGGTTAGTTTTCTAACTTTTCACCCTTCTGGTAAATGATGGAATACAGATTCAAATTTCTCTCAGTCATGCTTAGTCTCCTTCCTGCACAACTTTTCAGAAGAGCCAGCTACTATCCTCAGGCACAAAAGACATCGAGGCTAAGAAAATAGTATGATGCATTGCTGTGATTATGCTTTTACTAGGTTACCAGACTTATCAAACAGAAACACAGAATGTCCAATTAAATTTGAACTTTGGATGAACAATGACTTTTTTCCACAAGCAATATTTTGGATATACCCACACTAAAATGTATTTGTTTGATTCAGTAAGTTTCATTGCAAAAGTATTTATCGTTTATCTGAATTTAAGCTCAAGTGGGCATCCTGAATTTTATCTGGTAACATCTGATATGATGCTTATTTTATTACTTACTTTATGTGTTAATCAAAACAATATAATATATGTAACAGGAAAAATTTTTAATTCTTTTTATTTTTTTTTACCATGGTGAGGACATTTAGCATAATATCTACCCTTTTTACAGATTTTTAAGTGTAAAATACATTTTAGTTGACTATAGACACAAATTTGTACAAGAGATCTCTAGGACTTACTTATAGAATTTATATTAAGAGCTATGGATACTTCTGTAATTATTTCTGAGCACCACACTATCATGAGCAAGTTAGTCTCAGTATTCTCTTATCCATAGGCCAGCAGATCTGTGCTCAGAGGACAAGCTCATCCTCAAAATATCAAGGTTTCTATTACATTTCCAGTTACCCCATGAATTTACAGCAGCCTTCCCTAAGCTTAATCAGACCTGATCCTCAGAGAGCTCTGAATGCAAGCTACACACAAATCAAAACCTTATGGGTACGCCTAGGAGGAAAATAGTAGAAATGCGGCATATATTACAAAGTAGTAGTATCAAAGGTATCCATTAGGGTCTTAGAAGGAAGAAAATTGTCTTAATTTTAAAAAGATTTTAATTGAAAGGCTACTTACAGAAGTAAGAACAGCTGTAATAAAGAGCTAAGGATACTGATGTGACCAGAGACCACAACAGAAAGATGCTGTAACTACACCTGGGGTTAAAAGTGAGAGTGGAGAAGATGGAGTTACTGGACCAACCAGATTCAGGAGCCACAGAGGGTTGGGAGCCTGTGGTTGGAGAGAAACAAACAGCTACCAGCAAAGCAGGGAGAAATCAGGGAAGAGATACACTGGATTCTCTCCCCTGCTCTCCTCCTGGTGCTCCCCACTGACTGAACCCAAGGAGAAGGGGGATGTGGTGACATTGGAGCACGCAGCAGAGCAGAGGCTGAGTGAGTGCACAGTGAGGAGCAGGACAAAGGAGGAGGTCCACCAGGATGTGGGGCAGAGCACAACATGCTGGGACCTCACTCTCCATGGGTGAACATGTGGAATCCTTCATTTCCTTAATACTTGGTGCATCTTTTCCATCACTTTATCATGAAAATATTGAAACATACAGAAAAGTGGGAGAATTTTAGAGTGTTCGTGTATATATTCACCACCTGAGTTCAACCATTAATATTTTACTCAATTTATCATAGATCTAACAACGACCCTTCTCTCCATATGTTGGTGAACTTATTTTTTGATGCATTTTAAAGTAAATTTCAGACATCAGTATACATTTTCCTAATGCTCAGCATCAGATCATTTTTATAGTTCATTTTGATTGCTATTATAACCCAACTTATTTTAACTCTATATTTGTGCACATGTGCATCATCATGGACTTCTCTATAGATCAAGAAGTCAATTGATGAATGGATCCATTGATTGTTTTCTTTCAGTTGGACTGCCCTGGGGCATTCATTTCAATAGGCTTGTTGGTCCTTAAAAAAAAAGAAAGAAAGAAAGAAAGAATGAAAAAACCCTTTGCAAACACTCTTGCTTTTGGTTGCTTTCCTTCTCAGGGATTACAGAATTGATCTTCATAAGCAAGCCAGGGTCAGCACAATCAGACTGAAGAAGAATGTTGAAGAACTGGGGCACTGTTTTCCTCATGACCTTGCAGTCAGACCTCATCACAGGAGACAGTTCTCCTGCAACCTGACCTTCTCAATCATACCAGTCCCACACAAGCCTCATTTGCCTTTGGTTCTAAAGACAGATGGGGGAAAAGGGAGTA